ATTATCTTGGAGTTTTTTGACATTACAGTGGTTTGGTAGCTATATTTTTGTTCAGTTTGTGGCTGTTTGAAATTGAATTTCTGTAGGAGCGTGAATAGGTACTTCCAATCAATGCGCCGCCATGTTGTCTCTCCCACAATACTAATCTTTTAACTTCACAAGAGTTTAGAGATTACCATATGGGTGGAATAACCCTGTATTTTCAAAATAGTAACAGAAGATTTGCAATTTTAACGCACTTTCATTTTTCATATTAAAAAATAAATAATAAATAAAATAGTTATAATATATTTATAATATACTGTAGTTAGTTTATGTGAAATTTGGAACAAATATTATCAGTCATTTATAGCATAAAACAAAATAATAATGTTTTATTATATGGCACCTATTATGCCTCTTTTTTACTTTTTGTTGTAGGAAAAAAGGGAGAAGAAAAAATTTTGATAAAAACAAAGAACAAAGCGGTGGTCATATGGGTTATAAAATCAAGTCATAATCCATTTGAAGCACATTATCACACATTGTTTACATAGACATGAGTCCATTTTTTCCAATACTTGTTGCATTTTTTTTTATCTTAGGTTAAAAGTCAGTCTCTCCACACATTTCCTTTACAATTCTTATCTATTGAGCCCTTGTTGGAGGATCAACCTGAAACCATTTTTGAGTTACGGCTTTTTTTGTGTTGTGAGGTGTAGTTACATTTCTTGAGAAGTGCGTGTATAAATGATTAGTGCAATTCTTCTCCAGTTATCTTTTTTATTCAGTCTCTACTTCATACTAGAAGGGCTGTATTTTTGGACGAGCCCTAAAAAAACGTGAAAATGGTTAGCCATTGAGGTTTCACATTGTCTTTAACAAGAGCCCAAACTTTCAACTCACATACGCAATGCAGACAGTTTAGGAGTTATAAAGAACCTTATCAGATTTTTCCATCCAAACTCTCTCAAAACTTTCATATATCTCTCGCTCAGATTTTTATTTTATGTAAATTGATGAATGGATCTAACTCTTTTGTATGCATTTATATAATTTAAAGACCAGTTTTTTGTTTTCTTTTTTATTTATGCATCAGAAAATACTGTGATCAAATTACAATCATCGTTAAATTTACTTTACATTTTTTTTTTTATTAATCTTTAACTTGCAAAGTATCTGTAAAAATCCTGCTTGTCTAGGCCAAATGTATCTGATAGGGTCTCATAACTCATGAAATGTCCGTTAGAGGTCGCTGAACTGAATGATGTGATTCCTCCAGCCTGATCTCACGAGAAAATGTAAGTATTTTACGTTTTGGCAGTTTAGTGGCTAATTCGTACGAATTCGTACGAGTTCAGTCGTAAGAAATTGTAAGATTTTAAAAAGGAGCCGTCATTGGGGGCTGAGCAAATCGTACTAAAATGTACGAATTAGATCGTACGAATTCATACGAATTAGCCACTAAATGAAAAAGTTACAAATTGCTGTGAGATTGTGTTGGATTCCTCTCTAAACCCACTGTTTAAATCTACTTTACGCTTCTTTTCAAAAGATGTAAAATAAGTCTTGGAAAGTCTCTGAAAATTATTTTCATAACTCTTTAAAACTGACCCTTTTAAGCTTTAATCCTAATTGTGCTGTTTCGGTGACTGTTGCTTTAAATTCAAATGAGACTGTGTTCTTAAAAAAAAAAAAAAGGCGGAGCTACAAATGCCTTTGTGTCAGCATAGTGGCAGATTCAAAAACATGACTAATGTCCTATGCTAATGAGGGAGAGATTGTCACTAATGGGCGGGGCTTTCCCCCTCTGATGACACGTACAAAGGAGATTATCGATTAAAGTGTTTCGGCTGTTTCGACTGTTTTTATCAAGTGTGATTATAAGAAAGTAAAATGAATAAACTTTTACCAATACAAGCTGGTTATATTCACACACTTTTGCCCAACAACTGTGTTTAAACCTCTTATAAAAGTGATTTTTGCTTAATAGATCCCCTTTAAAACATCTGTAACTCATGATATCAGAGTCGTCAATAAAACAGTAGCCATACAAATAATATGTGTAGGTTTAAGTCAACTTATGGATTTAACAAAAAGCCAAAAGAATAACAGAAAGATGAAGGCTTTACAGCGGGCCTTGATTTGACCATTGGGAGTATTTAGTCTTTCCCACTTTTTGATAGATCACGAGCCACGACTGCTTAGATAATCGTAAACACACGCCAACTCTGTTTGAGCTTTTACAAAATATGAGCGATTCTGCCTACACTACAGATGCGGTAAGCAAACAAGAATGAACAAAAAAGGCAAAACTGTTTAACTAAATGACAAAATCAGAGCCAATCTAAACATATCTATTGTCTGATATACAACCTTTCACCGAGTGTCCAGCTTACAAACAGTATGAGTTGAGAAGAGTAACGAATGAATTCATAAGTTTACGACCCTAATGAACTTTTGAAAGCCTTGATCTTAGATGATGAGACTATGAGAGTTTAGGTGCATGCCAATTTGCATAGTTACTTTCATATTTCTGTCATATTTTTTGTATAAATAAAAAGTGGAAAGGGTGGCGCAGTGGGTAGCACCATCGCCTCACAGCAAGAAGGTCGCTTGCTTTAGCCCCGACTGGGTGGGTTGGTATTCTGTGTGGAGTTTGCATGTTCTCCCCGTGTTGGTGTGGGTTTCCTCCGGATGCTCCGGTTTCCCCCACAGTCCAAACACATGCGGTACAGGTGAATTGAATAAGCTAAATTGGCCGTAGTGTATGTGTGTAAATGCAAGAGTGTATGGGTGTTTCCCAATGTTGGGTTGTGGCTGGAAGGTCATTTGCTGCGTAAAACATTTGCTGGATAAGTTGGTAGTTCATTCCTCTGTGGTGACCCCTGATTAATAAATGGACTAAGCCGAAGAGAGAATGAATGAATGATTTGGGTCACGTGATTCATATTTCACGTTTCCAAATTTCCGTTAAGAAGAGGTAGTGCCTATCAACGCACGCTGATTTTTACAATACATTGTGGGACTTTTCAGGGATCCAACATTTCAGAGAACTGGAAGAATTTTGCAGTTGAGACAATGTAACAGGTATTAAATGAATTTGTTTTTATTATAAATTGTTTATTATAAATGTTGTTTATTATAAATTCAAATTTGTTTTGTTGGTAATTAATCTGTGCAAAACGAAAGAGAAAATGTTCTATTTTTTGTTCTGACGTGTCGGCGTGATGATGTCATTGATGTCCATCACCACAGTGATGTCATTGCTTCAGTCTATCGGAGGACAGAACAGATCGAGGTAGGCATTTATTCCTGTCTGGTAGGGAAATGTGTGCAAAGTAGAAAGATTTGTAATTTAGGTGAAATGAGTTTTGTTATAACATGTACATGAGTTATATGAGTGTGTTTTTTATACCGTGTTTCAATTAGTTTTAACCTGCCAAACTGTAATTTTAACCAGGAGAAGGTTGTTGCTAGGTCGGATGTGGTTGTGGCCGAAAATTAACGAGAATTTTCCCATTATTAAATTTCCCATTTATTGTATTTATTAACGTTTACCCCCCACCCCAACCTAAACCCAACCCTCACAGTAATGTAAAAACAGTAGTTGTACCGAGTATTATTTATGTTTTCTATTAAATTACCCAATAAATTGTATTTTTAACGCCTACCCCAATTCTAAACCCAACCATCACAGTACTGTAAAAATATGAATTATTGTTATACAGTGTCAATAAAAAATGCTGCTATATTAATTTGCATATCGCACTTCCGGCCGGTCACGTATCCGATTTAGACTTTACTGAAAAAGTGCAGTGTACGATATTAGCATGATCTAGGATGAAATTTAGCTTGTCAAATGTGACTTTTGATTCCCAATTTCTTTTGTGTATGAATGTTTAGCAGTAGCAGGCGTAAGAGGAATCTTTTTGTGCAGGTATTGTTTTTGTTTTTGTCTGTTTCATGTGTTTGATAAAATACTGGTCATTTTTATACATTAAGTGGAGTGTGTTTTGTAACACATTTTCTGGAGAGTTACAGTGGGAATAGAACACAGCCAGGAACTATGTTTCAAACTACAGCTCCAGAGGTGTAGTTGTGAGTGCTCAAGTTTGCGACGTAGTTTGCGAATGTTAGTTAGAGCGACGGGAAACGGCAAATCAACAAACTATGTAACGACAGAACTTGCGACCTTAGTTGGCTAACAATGGTTTTGGGAAACGCACCCCTGACTGTTATGGCCATTCAAGGTGGAGATACTACCAACATAATACTAATAACAGATATACACATTTAAGTCAAAACACTGTAGTTATATAGACTTCATTTGAACAAAATGATTAAATTACAAACAATGTCTCACTAGTTCTAGTGTTAATGGACATGCTTGTGGAAGCCCAAATTTCGTGTTCTCGATTATGTACTGGAGGCGGTGAGGCTATCAGACTCCAATTTTGTAGGACAAAATATAAGTATAAAATATGAATACACTAAAAGATTGAGCACACAATGCATAGTGATGAATTGGGACACGGCTTTCTGATTGAAACATGAGTCAGGACTGCTCAGATGACCGTGAACACACACACCAGATTGAGTTCTTTCGAAATGCGAGTGATTCAGTGTACGCTGCAGAAACAGTGAGCAAACAAGAAAGAATAAAAGAAGCACATTTCAGCAACACACACACATATATGAGGGTGGGGTGTGAAATCTGCCTGGGTGTGTGTCTATTTGAGCGAGCGGGAGAGAAAATAGAACGACAGTCTGTAAGCAAACTGCATACGTGCCTCTGAGAGTGTGAGAGTTTTGCTGTTTTGCTAGCAGACATCATGCTCAAAGGTCTTTTACATGCATCTGAGAACGCATCCTCGCCCACTATCACACACACTGACGTGGGAGCCGAAATCGAGAGGGCTTGCTAGATTCCAGACGTCGACTTGCGAGTTGTTGTGACGTCTGACTCAAACACAACACATACACCTCATTTGTAGGGCATCCCGGGACAAGACACGCACCTGGGATCTGTGTGGTGCTGGAGGGGCTGTAATGGGTTTGGTGGGGCCGGGTGGTACCGTTTCCAGGGTTCATCCTCAGGCTGGCTCTCTGGAAGCGCTCGATGTCACTCAGACGGTCGGAGAATTGCTTATGAGGGTCATCCGGCTTCACGCGGTGACCTACAGAGAAATGGAAAGAAGTGCAGTGTGTTAAGGCTTGCCGATTTGTTAAAAGTCTCATGATCATCACCTTACAGGTTATCTCATATCCTGATAACGATATATATCATGATCAGTGATGGGAATAATGGCGTTATAAATAAACGGCGTTACTAACTGAATTACTAAATTAAATAAATGACTGTTTCCCCTGTTACAACGCCGTTACCATTACTGACAATAAAATGTGGTGTTAAATAATTGTATATAATTAAATATATAATTTGCAGTGTGGTTCAGTGGTTAGCACTGTCGCCTCATGGCAAGAAGGTTGCTGGTTCGAGTCCCGACTAGCTCAGATTTGTTCTGTGTGGAGTTTGTATGTTCTCCGCCTGTTTGTATGGGTGAATGTGAGTGTATAGTTGTTTTCCAGTGCTTAGCTGTGGCTTGAAGGGCATATGTTGCGCAAAAAATATATGCCTGAATAGTTGGCAGTTCATTCAGCTGTGGCGACTCCTGATAAATAAGGAACTAAGCCGAAGAAACTTAAATTAATAATTTGCAATCTGAGTCTCTGTTGGGCTGCTCTGGTGTGTGTGAGGCACATGACTGATGATTACTGGCATGTGTGGGTGTGTAGGGATGGGACAACAACATATCTGATGATGATTGGCGAAAAACGCAGGTGACGCTTTCAAATGCGTAGACGGATCCACTGCATTAAAACCACCAAAAGTAGTTTAGTTTAGTTTATTAATAACGTTACTGTAATATTTATACTGTCTTTTTGTTACATTAATTAAAAAGCATAATTTAATTTAGACATATTTGCTGGCCTCATGTCTCTCACATTGTCCCACAGCTACCATATAAAATTGTGTAGAATGTTTTATGATAATAATTTGGTCCGTTTAGTGTCCATTGTATTCAACATACACTTTGTAATTTTTTTAAACATTTTTTCTTTTTAAAAAAGTAACACAATAAATAAAATATTTTCTTTTATAATGCAATTCAGTTACAATTTGTGACAAGTAAATAGTAACTATAAATAATTACTTTTTTAAGTAACATGCCCAACATTGATCATCAGTAGTGGCGCAAGCCTAATTGGCGCTCTGGGCAAACGACAGTCATGCCACCCTCATGGTGTTCGTGCTGCCCTTTCGAGGATGAAAGTGAAAAGGAGGGTGGGGTGGGGGTGATGAGCGTCACGGACAAAATTGACAAACGTGAAGAGCAGGGGGGAGGCGAGTTGGAGGAATGTCTCCATGCTGCCCCTAGCAAGATGCTGCCCTGGGCGATCGCCCACATTGCCCATGCCTAAATCCGCCTCTTCTGATCATGATATAGTACATTTTCTGTAAATATAATTCCGTTATTGACAACATGGAAAGGATCATTTCTTCTTTTTTTAACGTTTTAAAGTATATGCTCAGAAATTAACTAATTTATGCTTGATTATTTTGTCACTTTCAGGACAAATTGAAAATGTTTTCAACAAATAACAACAAATATCAATGACACGCCTAAAACAAATGATTACAGGCACAACATAAAATGTATTTTTAAGCTTGCAACTTTCTCACCATTCAGTTTCAGTCTGCATCCCTGTGGTGGCATGTAAGATTGCAGTCATCCAAATGGTAAAAAAGTATTATCGTAAACAATGCAGTTGGTGAAACCACAAAATAAACAATAGCATAATATGAAATGATAGACTTTTTATTATGTCAATATGATATACAGTACAGTACATTGTCATATTGTACAGCCCTACAATGAGTTATTATAGTATAATGATAGTATACAGGCATAATGAAGCAGAACATAGTCTTGAATCATCCTTCAGTTTGTAAAGAAAATTCACAGTAACACTTTATTTTGATGGTCCACTTGAGTATTAGTGGACTGTCTGCTTAATATCTGCTGATACTGCTCATAACAGACATTAAACTGACTATAAGAAACTTTGCAAGTACATATTAACTTACACTAACCCCAACCTAACAGTCTACTTATTATCTAATGAGAATTAGTTGTCATGTAGATGCAATGTAACTTAAATTCATCAAATGGACCATTAAAATAAAGAGTGACCAAATTTACATTAGATTCAATCCTTTCTCTGGTATCATCTGCTATTTAATGTAAAAGGCCAAAAAACACAATAATGATAATAGTAAGATTGTGGAAAACTTTTATAATTTCAAATACTGTTTTCTATTTGAGTGTATTTGAACATATAATCTACTCCTGTTATGCAAAACAATGCAGCATTGCTACTTAGTGTCACATGATTTTTGTAAATATATGCTGATACCAACGTGCTGCCTAACCATTCAGTTTCCCTGTCATGGACGGAGCCCTATCTGTCACAAGCAAAGCTCTGCATTGTATGCGTGTTGCAGGCTACATAATTTACGTAGGAATGCGCATTTTTGGCGGGACCATAGAAATAATAAATACTTTATATTTATATTAATATACTATATATTTATATTAATAAAATATAATATATATATATTTATATTAAATAACAATTTATGAATGATTGAATAGCCAGTTGAATAGCCCTGCTGTATACTGTATTATGCATATTTAAACACTGTATTCATTCGTTTTCATTCAGCTTTGTCCCTTTATTTATTAGGGGTCGCCACAGCAGAATGAACTGCCAACTATTCCAGCATATGTTTGCATGCCCTACAACTACTGTATGTGGACACCTATTCACTGTACCTATTGCTGTCAATTTTACATTGTCCTGTTTTTTTGGGAGTATGCTGTTGTATTTTGGACAGTCGTTGTATTTTGCACTGTCTGCATGTTGCACTGTCTGTATTTTGCACTGTCGTTGCATTTGCACTGTCTGTATTTTATACTGTCTGGAGCCAGCACCTAAGCTTTTCACTCATCAAAGCACACGTGCTGCTGATGATGTGACAATAAAAGTGATTTGATTTGATGTCCTTTACAGCATAAAATTCATTAAAATAAAAGTAAATTACACTTAGCACCTTAATATCTTTGCTGTTTATATATATATATATATATATATATATATATATATATATATATATATATATATATATATATATATTTCATCATTAAAGATTTCATTAAAAAAGAAAAGTGTAAAAATCTCGTCTCATTCTTGTGAAACCAATCTCATGTTTATCTTGTAGAGTAAGCGTCTTGTCCAGCCCCTAATATTTATACAGTAATTATGGTAAAAATGCAGTCAATAGATCTAACACTGATATATTTAGTCAAAAAATAGCTCAATATCCTTACTAATAATTCACAGAATTCAACCTTTGGTAAAATGCACATAAAATCACACACTCTAAAATACACTAAAACCAAACTAAAGCAACATCACATAGCCAAACGAGCACACTCGCAAATGATTTCAATAATGTTTGACATCAGCATTTCACAAAGCTAACAACATCATGTTTTAATAAGCGTCAAAGTACACAAATATTGAGTAAAACGGGTCTGGAAAAGAGCTTATGAATTTCAGACAGAGCTGTATACTCAGTCGTGACTCACGTAATGCTTGATGATCCACAGAGGAAATCACCAAGAAAAACCTTGAGTGTGTCTGTGTGTGGGTGTGTTTATCACAGACAATAAGTTGCCATCCCATTTCAATAGCCATTACACACACACGCACATCATACGTGTAGTCTGCTCGGCTCTAATGGATGAGTTTAATGTGAGTATCAGTGGTGTGTGTGAGGAACATGCGAACATTTTGTGGTTTTTAATGTGGAGTAATGGCTGTATTTGAATATTTTATTCAGATATAGAGGGATAACAGACGCTCTGATATGGATTTTGTGTGTTCTTGCCCTCTCTTTCGCCCAAGGGCAATACATCACTCCACGTTTTTTTTTTTTTTACCCCTGGGGTAATATTTCTGCTAGTTTATCCATTTGCTTCCACACAATGTCTCCCTCTCTCATTTAATTGAATTGATAAATAGTTATTTCTGTGTACTTTTGGTTTGTTTTTAATACCTGTACTCCTTCCAATGCAATAAAAAAGCTCCTGACATCTCGATTGCTGTAACAAATTAGACAGTAAATTATGCGTAGACGTTTTTCATTCACTTTTACTAAGTGTTTTGTGTTAAAGCTGAAGTCTTTCAGTGTGACATACTGTATATCTTCTTAATGCGGTTGTAAAGTCGTACAGACTAGCGTTAGCAGTGTGTCTCCTGGATGGTTGTGGGGTCAAACCCTACATCTGCCCTGTCTACATTCACCCTGTCTGAACTATTATGGAGGAATGAATATTTCATAGGTAAGGGGGCACTTAGACAGGAATGTCGACTTTTTGTGAGAATGATATCATAACCACAGGACACACACACGCACACACAGAGAGACACACTAATTAGAGTGGATCCCTCTCATCATACACACACATACACACAGACATCATGAGGAAATGAGCATTGAACATGATATACATGATATACAACTTGATAAAAAAAAAAAAAAAAAAAAAAACTTTAAATACTCTGAAACACAAAGTTCTTGCTCAAAAACTAATTTTCAAGTCACAAAAGTAGAGACTGCTAATCAGATATTTTTATATTTATATATTATTATGTATAAACAACTAAATGCAAAGAAATGCTAACATTGCTCTTGAGAAATACTTTTATTGTACATCCTAATAATGAAACTTTTATTATAATTTAAAGTGTTTTTAAAGATTCCATGAAATAAAAATTGTAAAATAATTTTTTTAAGTGAGTATCTAGTGCACACTAAAACACTGACAGAATTCACATTTAGAAGATATAAAACTCATACCAACAAGTAAAGCTTGTAGTTCGTTACTTCCGAAATGGATCAGCGGTTTAATTCGTGTCACTTCATACTACAGTTTCCCATCAAATCTTGACCAATCAAATGCTCTCTAGTATTTGACATGCCCCGCCCTCATTTGTTTTTCATTTGTTTCACCTGAGATCAGCCAAAACCAAATGCTATTGGCTGTTT